TGAATCAATAGCTTTTATGCACAAAGAAAAACTGCAATTAACTCTGGTAGGATATATAATAAAATGCTACCTTTCGCAATAACTCAGCACGCTTGGCGTTTTGCTGCTGTCGTAGTTCCGGTCGCATACTATGGTACCTACAATGAAATAATTTTAAAGAATTTCTCATATAAAAAGTACTCACCGTATTCTAGCTCTCTCCGCTCGTTTCGCTTTACTGATCTCATTCCTTTCTGCCACAGTAAGGCCACGAGTGCTACCGTCTCCCGAGCTCACAGTAGTGATGGGTCTGCGGAGAGATTCGGGTTGAGGCTGCGGTTGGAAGCGCATATTCGACTGCGATGAATCTGGCTACAACAAACAATTCACAGGCTCAGTTGTTACAAAGGTTAAAAAAAGTAAAACTCTCCATCACTAATTGTGACGGGCTCAAAAATGGTACTGTATCTATACTGTATTCAGTATTGCATCTATGAAAATCACTGAGTTGTTTTTCGTTATAATTTGTGATCTGGCTTTCATAGGAAAAGTCAGCTGAAATAATGTTGCCTCAGCAAACTTTTAAGCCGAAAATTTATGCCTTATTCAGACACACCATGCGCTTCACATTAGCATTCCAAATATTGGAGAAAATGTTTGAAACTATAGCTCACAATATTTGGTTTGCGTCAGCCTTATAGGCCAGCCAAATGTCAGCGAGTTCTGATCACCCTTCAGATAAGTACTACTTTTGGACAAACTTCATTTGCTATGGTTAATGGTTATTAGGCCAAATGATTGTCGACCTTCACTAGTTCTACACATTCTAGGCTACTTCTTAAATGTTGTATGTTCCATGCACAGATTACTTCACCACTCCAGTCGCCTGTCATCTTCATTCACCAATAGAGAGCCTTCTAGACTTTGATGGTACTCACCAGAACTGGGCAACTAAGTTACAAAAGTACATAACTTAGATATGAAAAGCCTTGGATGTTCAGTTCTGGTTGATTTGTTTAAGCCTAATCGTCTCAACGGCTGCTCTGCCGCGTTCAACCGTTGCTCTTCCAAAGTAAGACCTGCTTTCGTTGGGTGAACAGTTAATGCCTCAAAACGAGGTTTTACGAGAAAAAGAAAAGAAATTACAAAAACAAGTTAAGAGAGAATTTTGTGTGTCCAGCGAGTAGCCTAAATATTTCTCTTTCTAAGCATAGTTACATTTATCCAAATTACTGAGACTATATGCTAATACTCCAAAAAAAAAATCAATGAATTCGAATGACTGAAACTCTCACGGAAAGCTCAAAGGCTATTAGAATCTCTCATGAGAATAAGTCGCTATATTGAATGAATTCCATTCACCACATTTTGTGATTGATCAAAATTGTTCAAAAAAAGGAAGAGATTTTGGAATGACCCAAAACAACTCTTGTTTCAATGTGAGAGTGCCAATCTGAACGACTAACTTCCACTAATTAAAGTCGAAACGTTGAAGAAAACGCAACTCGGTGTATACCATTTATAACGGGCACTCGAATCACCTTCAAAAAACATTTATACATTAAAAACCGTGTGAGCACATGATGCGCTCCCTTACCACAGCTTCTCTGAGTGGCCAAAAACGTTTGGAACGCTTTTGAAATCACGCTCAATCGTGATGCCTGGAGGTACGATAAGTGCACTGGAGATGGTCACATTCTCAGAAATTTTGTAAAAGCATATTGAAGCTATTGGTGTGCTTTTATGTTATACTTCGATTTGTTAGTGTCTTCTTACAAAGTTACATATCTAGATTGCAAATTCATCTCCATACATTGCTATAAGGAATAAGCACAGCAAGTATTTTTCCAACATTACATACCAAGCATTCTCACCATGTAAGTTTCTGCGGAATCCTGGAGGCATGACTGACTACAGTATAGTTATCGCATCTCTACAGACATTAACAAAAGTATGGATGCGATATTCAGATTCAGCATGTCCGAAAACCTTGGTTTAAACGTTCGGTCATACCATACCACTAATCCCACGGTCCTCCCCAGCTACTGAAAAGCAGTTTTCTAATATGACGAGCCCCAATTCCCTCTCCCTCCCTTTCTCCAACTTCTGTCGTCGCTTGCTATCAAATGAGGTCTCCGATATCCAGCCGGCATTCTCCTTCGAAAAAGTGGCTCAAATCAATTAATGATATAAATAAGAGCGCAAAATTTCATGGGAAATACTTGAGTATGGGTACTTCTGTTACTTACTGAGAGAGACATCATGGAAGGCTTCTAAGAAAAGACAAAAAATGAGTGGGCAACAAACAGTTAAAATGTCATTTTATTCAGTAGATAGTGCGCACTTCTACTTCAAAATAATGAAACAGATTTGCAGACATAGGAAGAAGGGACCATGATGAAATCCAAAAAAGTGCTTCGAAAAAATTCTAAGAATTTCTATTTGTATAATCTCGCAGGAGAACCAATACGACGTTACCTTCAGATAGATACCTAAGCCGTGTTTGAGTATTTGTTTAGCTACGGAGTTTCTCTAAGAATAACCATGGATGCGTATCCTCTGCTAAAATTAGCATGTAGACTTGTAATTGTACATAAATTAGAAGCTAGCAATCGAATATTTAACTTGATTCTCAATGAAAATCACCCTCGAAAACAGTTCATTCAGTTCATAGTTTCTAAGCTGCTGCTACAAA